GATCGGAGAAAGCGCCTCCCGGGCTACAAAGCTTACCTGAAAGCAGCGTACCGTGTATTTTTTGTGGGATGTTGTCTATTTTTATTGTGCTCCCAGCCCAGGTCCTCATTTTCCAACACCAAGAACCAAAATAAATAATAAAGGCAAATGAGGGAGGGTGTTGTATATTTTATTGTGTGATTATGTTACATAGTGTATAAAAACGGATATTTCAAAAAGTTGGTCATGAAAATCGTAGGGGCATTAAGGCTGACCAGGCTACCAAAATACTTGGCGTTAGTCTTCCGCTAGATTTAGTAACCAGGTCAGACAACACTATTTTTACTTGCAGATTAGAGTCTTTGATTGATTAATCTTAAAATGAGGAAAGGTTTATTTAAATAATTATTATCTTGCCTTAATTATAAATAATAATTATTTAAATAGTTAGACTAGGAACCAGCAGGTGGCATGGTGGTTAAGGTGCTGGACACTCCCACATGGCCGACTGCTGTTCGAGTAGTACCGGACCTGGTGGCCTGCTTTCTCACTTTCCCTCTCTGTGTGTGTGTATTTCTCTCTGGTCAAATTAAAATAAATGAATGAATAAATAAAATTAAATAATTATTTTTAAAAAATAAATAAATAGTTAGACAAGATCTTTGAAAGTATATAGCTCTGGGAGGGTATCAGATACAATCTTTTTTTTTAACCTGGCCACTTGAAAAAGGCCAAGCACTTGCACTTGCTTACCCAAGCTCAAGACAGGAGGGAGAAATGGAGGATTGCATGAGGGGATGCTTTCTCACTTTCCCTCTCTCTCACGTCTCTTCCTTTGGTGAGTGCACATGCTTTATAGCAAATTAAGGAAAAAGAGGAGGCAGATCTTCCTACTGAAAAGTTTGGGGGTTACCAAAATAAATCAGTAAGATGTAGACCCACCTTAAAGCATTGCAACAATTACTATCTCTAGGAGAACTACCAGGCATTAGCTTGGAAGCGATATTGCTGGTGTGATTACTAAACCTAAAATAATAACTGCATGGCTCCATTCTTTTCAAGTTCTGGAAGACGATAAAAAGCCAAAGAAGGAGTTCTTGCTAGACTTGTTTTATTTCAACACTTACATTAGTGCCCTGATCCTCCTTGTGATTTATGAAAGGAGGAGGCTTAGCAATTAACCGTGTTCCACCTCTGTGCTTTGCTTTTCTTTTCCTTTTACATTTTACCCACTGGTCTCAGAACTGGCTTGGGCTTCATCATTTCTTGATTCTTCCAAGTACAAGCTAAGGAAGTGGAAGGAAATAGTGGATGTAAAACAAAAATGGAATTTCTTAGTGATAGTAAAATCTCTGGGCCTGGGCTAACAAACAGTAAGGGTAGACAGTAAACAGTAAGCTCTCTATGGGCAGGGAATGTTTTCCTGTTCTGTTCACCAGGTACCCTAGAACTCAGAGACATGCCTAACATATCACAAGCCATCAATAAATAAATACATAGCAATAAGTAAAAGCACTTCCCAAATGTCTTTAGGTACAAGGAAGTCAGCAAGCTCTAAAAGATAATAATCTTTCATTTCAAGGCAAATTTGTTAGAGACCTCCACAAGTTAACTATGATTTTCTTTTTGTTAACTATGATTTTTAACTTAGCTATAATTATTCTCCTCCCTTACTTTGAAGTTTAGCTGTAAGACTTATTATAATGGAAATGGCAAAGCCTTCTTTTCCCTTCTGCATCTCATAATAATAACTATTACTTGTCTAGGGCTTACTACATGTCCAGATACCGTGTTCAACAATTACTATCTCTAGGAGAACTACCAGGCATTAGCTTGGACGTGATATTGCTGGTGTGATTACTAAACCTAAAATAACTGCATGGCTCCATTCTTTTCAAGTTCTGGAAGACGATAAAAAGCCAAAGAAGGAGTTCCTGCTAGACTGGTCTAAGTCCTTTACGTACTTGAGGACTTCAAAAACTTTGTGAAAAACGGAATTTAAGTAAAGTTTAAGGCTAAGGTGCTGAATTCCCACATGGCTAAAAGTGGTTTGAGTCCTGGACCTGGGGGATTGAAATTCATACCAGGGGCATGTGCATGCATGCCCAAAATCCCGAGAGGAGAATGGAGGACAAGGGATTGCAGTGTGGCCATCTCCCCCCGCCAGGGAGTGTGCAATTTCTCACTTTCCTTCTCATTGACTCATTCTCTCTGTGTCCCCTACCCCCCAGCCCCACCCTACACCACCCTCATCCTACCCTACCCCACAAGCACAAAAACGCCCTATGGCAAAAATTTAAAAAAAAAAAAAAAATGTAGGGACCAACAGTTGGCGTAATGGCTATGTTGCTGGACTCCCATGTAGTCGACCATGGTTCAAGTCCCGGACCCAGTGGCTTAAATTCACACCAGGTGCGTGTGCGTGCGTGCCCAAGATCCTGAGAGGAGAATGGAGGAGAAGGGATTGCGGCATGGCCATCCCCCCTAGGGGGTGATTTCTTGCATTCTGTCTCTCTGTCTCTCTCTGTCTTTCTGGCGAGCACATGCGCCCTATAGCAAAAGCCTCTCCAAAACAAAACAAAAGGTATAGTTTATTGAGTGCCAAAACAAATTTAAACCCATTCATAGTTTTTTCATAATACACATTTCTCATGAACTTTTCAAAGACCTCCTTTTTTTTTTTTTTAATCGTTAAAGGGTTGAGGGACTCACCAGAGAGAGACAGAGGGAGGCAGAGAGCAGTGGGAGAGAGAAAGCACCTCCCAGTGGAGCGTGGTCACACCACGTTCCATTCTCCATTTCTCCATCCTGTTGGGATTTGGGGCACACACACAGATATGTGATCTCTGAATGTTTCAAGCCACCAGGACTCTATTTCACACTGTGGTCAATCATGTAGGATTGGGCTCCCTTAACCACTAGGCTGGCCCACTCACTTTTTTTTTTATTTTCCTAGGAGTATTCTCTCCCAGAGAGAGAGAGAGAGAGAGAGAAATCACCCCATAGAAGGCTGTCATGCTGCAATCCTTTCTCCTCCACTCTCTTTTTGGGATTTTAAGCACACTTACATACACACCCTGCATGTTTTTCAACCTGCCCTGTCCAGGATGTGAATAGTGCAACCGGGTCTGCGGGATCTAACCATCGTAACTACCATGCCACCAGCTGGCACCACCTTATTATATAAATCACATAAACCTTTATTTTTTTTGAGAGGTTTTTGCTATAGGGCATGTGTGCTTGCCGCAGAAAGACAGAGAGAGACAGAGAGGCAGAAAGAGAAGAAATCACCCTCCAGGAGGCGTGGCCTCGCCACATTCCCTTCTCCTCCATTCTCCCCTCGGAATCTTGGGCACGCACGCACACGCACCCGGCGTGAGTTTAAGCCACCGGGTCTGGGACTCAAACCGCGGTCAACTACGTGGAAGTCCAGCGGTATAGCCATTACACCAACTGCTGGTCCCCATATAAGCATTTTTAAATATCAGCCCAAGAAGAAGAGGTAAAAAGCACCTACTAGAGAAAACCCAAAACTGCGGAAGAAATTGTGTTTGCATAAAATCCAGGACTCAGAATCCTTGACTGCACCTAC